GGGGGGGGAGGTGGGTTGTCATGGGTACACAAGCACTTTTAACTTCTTGGTGTGCGTAAAGGGGGAGTGTAGTAGAAAAGCGATTAACTATTAGCAATTGTAGAGTGTGGTGATAGAACGGACACAACTAATTATTAACAAAAATGCAAACATATCTAGAACTGCATGGGCTATGCTTTCTTTTGTTCTCTCAACTATTCTTACTCTAGTCTGCGTCATCCAATTCTTGTGGCCGTGATTGCTTAGCCGATGTGGTAATTTGCAGTCCTGGTTACCACATAAAATCCACTGAATGTGCTTTCATAATTTACTTAATACTTTCCATCACGCATTTGTATGATTCAATATATCCTTGCTTCAGTTAATTTTGTTTGTGCGCCGTATTCGAATACGGTTGTTTGTTAAGTGTCTAACGTACACCATAGAATATACTGCATTAGACTCCACAGGTCATTTAAGCCGGATGCTTCAAACAAAACCTAAAGTTTCCAGCGTGTACTTTCATATTAGTCAACGGGTCATAGTTACCAAAAGTGGTAAAAAAAGCTCCTCATTCTGAAATTTTCATAATGGAAACCTTTTTCAATAAATTTTTTTATATTAACACCCTTAACTTCAAACTGGACCATGGTTCCGAAGTCCGAAACAATTTTAGGCTTGAAAAATACACATTTACTTAAACTACTGTTAGTGAGTTGATTTAAGCCTCATGAGTCCTCATTTTAACAAAAGGACCTCCCGAAATTTAACTTATCGTCCTTCTTGTGTGAAAGTTGTTATGAGAGAAAGCATTTCCACTATATTTGAGAATGATAGTAGATTACTTCATCTCTCTTCATTCGTGTTAATTGTTGAGAAAGTAACCTATATGAGTAAATATTGACCCTTTGTTCAAAACTACAAAGTCGGAATGGGCTAATTGAATGGTTAATTACATTGAGCAGTTGGTCAAGTAGCCTCAAATAAATTGTTCCTATTTACAAGTGATAGCCTTTCATCTATTTCTTTCTGCACCATTCATCACAAACCGCTTACCAAACAAATGTAACACTGATTACTGACTTAATGGTTATTTGATATTATTTATAGTTCAAACTCTGTCATTACTGAGTCCTCAAAATTACAGCATTCGGCTCCTCAGGTTCTGAGTGTTTTCGTATACAGATCCAGCTATCGTTTATACTGAGCAATCTGCCAGGCCATCACATTTGAGCGAAACCAGGTAGCGGATATAAGCTTGAAAGATTTCGGGAAACAAATCGATGTCTCCTCCCATTTTCCTCCATTAAGCAAGAGTGACTGAAAGAATGGACTAAAATATCTTAGACAACAAAGTTGTTTCAATCAGCATTGAGTGTCAAGCAGAGAGCAGGGAATTCACGTCTTACGATTAGTAGGAACAGCTTAAGAAGATACCTCATTTTCTTCTCTTCAGAATTAGCGGAAAAGAAGCATTAACAAGGCCATAGCAAATTATACATTGAGAATGAAAAAATGAACGCATTAGGTCAAATATGATTAGAGGCTGATTGTAACGGGACTGATAGAAAAATTAATAAGCAATCATGTTATAATCTTGCAGTTTCTTAACCGCTTCAAGAATAACTTTAGAAGTCGAGTTGCCGATCAATCGGAGAGGCCCTCTTGTGATCAAACCAAAGTAGAGCGAGAAGAAACAGAAAAGGAACACAGTGATGGACACAATAAACACCAAACCGATGAAAAGTCCAATTTTGACATTGCGATTTTGTTGAAGACTAATTGGACTGAAGTTGAGAGCCTCATCAGCCGTTGTCATCGGGGCGTTTGATTTTGGTGGAAGAGATAGTTTGCCACAGCAGCACTTGATGTCCGATGGACAAGGATCATCACTGAAACCCCAGAACCACTGGCAAACATGCCCGGAGATATACAAACAACGTGAACAATGACTTCTTGTGGATTTTACTGAAATATCCTCTTTAGACTCCTTCTCAGCATCATTCTCCATAATCTCAACGGTGGTATCTGCAAAAAGGAAATTACAAGAGTCTTTGTGCACCCTAAACACCACGAATGCTAAAATTTTGCACAATCTTTTTAGTCTCTTTGTTTTAAAAGGAACAATTGCGAGCGTTACTTACATCTATGTAAATCCAAGGACAAGAGAAGCACTAATGTTCATAATCGGTGTATTTGAATGCACGGTATTAGATAAACGTAAACATGATGACAAAACGAGAGATTACAAAATGCAAATCAATACGAACTTTTAATGTTGAAAGTTTAAACCTTTTGCCCTCATACAAGTCGTTTTTTAGCTGAGCATAGGCCGAACGGAATGCCCTCAAACAATGAGGATGTTATGGATATAGTGCAGCCATTCGAAGCTTTTTTATTGAGAAGGAGTTTGTTTTAGAATTGAGGCCCTCGCAAACACAGTTCGCTTGTAATTATTTTAAAACAAAAAAGAACAGTTTAAGCATACTAAGCATATCTAGTCCAAATCTTGCCCTTGATGCGATCTTTTAATGAACTTGAGAGTCAGTAAAATTGGAAAATTTCATGGGACTTTGCTCAAGTAACCTAGTTTTCACTACCAAATTCTGACCAATCTGGAAACACAAAAAATAAAAGTCAATGATGTGAGACGGTAGGTCACTTTACAAGACTCTTAAAAATTTATTAAAACTGAGTTTCAGATCCTGTTCTACTAGTAGTAACCGACACTAGTAAACCTCTATTAACCATGTGCGCACGTGAATTAGTGGTCATCAAGTCCGTCTGCCAAGTTGGATGTCGCAATATTAATTCTCACCGGTAAATAACCAAACTCTGGTTAATTCTGCTCAGCAAGAGAGGTAGTAGGATATGAGCTTCTCAAAAGAGCAGCTCTGAGATAATTTATTATCACGTCGTTTAATAAGAAAATTATTGCAATTTTTCTTGAAGTCGGAATTATCGAAAATATTGTAAACGAGACTGAATTTATTCTACAGAAAAGTGCAAGGCTAGAATCATAATTGACTAGTTTGATGACCGATATTAGCAGGAAAAGAATAATTTTTATTAATAACCTACTTACCCCCCCCCCCTAATATGTTCCAACCTGGCTACTAAGCTTGACTTAAATCTCCACATAGTTGTAACATGCGCAATATAAGACGATGTGTAGTAGATAAATGGCGCTTTCTCTTGAGTCTACCGACATTTGGCAAGTAGCCTCCAGTATGTTACAACATCGACAGCAAATGTCTTTTGCCGGAAAATATACTAAGACATTATATGGTCAAAATCGCTTCAATCTGAGTACTCCAAATTTTCACGCTTAATTCACAATATATAGCGTTCATATTGGTAATTTAGTTTACCTAATTCTTCAACGATGAATTTCTTGCTAGCGAGCCCATTCTTCTCACCATCTACTTTCTCTTCTTCCTCGTCCTCAGTATCCCTGCGGGAGATTTCATCGCCAAATCGAACCTCAAGCATTGCACCGTCAATTTTAGTGGCAAAACTATTATCGTCATCATCAAACGTCAACTGCCCATTCGGTGTCAGGACCTCATTTCTCGTCCAGAAAGTTAGACCCCGGATTTGCTCCTCTGTTGGTGGATAAGAGGCTAGCGATACAAGACACATTACTAGGCCAGTGGAGAAGAAGGAAAACATGGCGAAATACATGTAATGCACCTTTGCAACAATCCACGGACGATTATCTGGTTCTCCGCAAATGGGGTCAGCGTAGATGAAGCTTAGAATCATTCGAACAATGCCGATTACAAATCCGTAGATTAAACCCGTAAATGCTCCCTAAGGGCAATGAGTAAAATGAACATTTAATCACTAAAGAAAACATTTGAAGCGTATTTAAGAGGGAGACTGAGATTATTACCAGTTCATTATTCCTCTTCCACATGAGAGCCATTACATAGACTGCTGCGATTGGTGGCGAAAGGAAGCCAGCAATAGACTGGATGTAGATATAGAGTTGACCTCCCTGCATGCTTTGAATAACCGGGACCCAAATAATGCTCAAGCCCACCATTACAAGTACGAAAAGTCTAAAAATGCATGCAGAAGAGACAAGTTCACATTAGCATATACATCTCCATCGCAAATATGCAAACTAAAAGCTTATTCGACTTCTACTCATAGTGAATTTACAGGTTATCAAGGAAAGAAAGGAAGCTGTGATTATACAAACAGCTATTGAAATACGCCTTTAATCTTAGCCTAGGCGGTGTTTTGACCTACAAACAAATTGCGCCTGGTCTTACAATCCTCACTCTAGTTCCAAGACATCATTAGATTGGCTATATCTTAATCAATAGCAGCTACCTACCCTCTAACCTATCTTATTGTAAGATGAAGGTCGAAAGAAGTTAGACGATTTTAGGTTAAGCCTAAATGCCACAGTCGTTTACATAACCGGTTGCCAATTTCTACCCGAATACTGTGGAACACCTCTTTGTTTTCCCACACGCCTCCAAAGGGGAATGTTTAAAAACTATGCTTAAAGAAAGCATCTAATTATAGAATTCACGTTTCATTATTAACATTCAAAACTTAACAATTGTTTTCGAGTTACTTCATTGGATATTAAAAAACAGGCAAAATATTTAGATAGGATAAGACTTCGAGATTAGCAAACTGCTTACCTTCCGACAAGCATGAGTTCTCTGTTGCTCGCTTTTCGTCGGAAGGAGGTGTAAATGTCCACGGTGAAAAGTGTGCTAGAAGAGTTAAATATGGAGGTCAAATCGGACATCAAAGCTGCCAACATGACCGCTAGCATCAAGCCCCGAAGACCTAGACAAAAAAATGTGGTGATAAAGAAATGTTAATGCAACTTTGCACTAAGTATTTATCGAAAATATATTTGCTTATGTGGTCAATAGGATTGCGCTCAATAGATAAAAGGGCACGTATGAGGTCTACATGATGAGCCAAAGGGATAAATTTGTATGATCTCATCAAATTAATTAGAATGTTTGTATTCGTGTCGGCCAATCCTGTTCCACCATTCTTGCAAAAAATCTCTCTCTGTTAAGGAACAGTGAAATCGTGGATACCACCGAAAAGACCATGTCAGTAGTCATGGCCACATGAATGTTTTTGACTTCTAATTCACTTACTTTTCCTTCAGCCTTTTATCTTAATACTGAAGTCCATAAATAAATCAATTTGATTTATGCAGGCTTCAAATAGGAACAAAAAGTCATTAACAATGCAAAAAAAGAAATAAATACCCCACCTCCCCTTAGTCATGAACATGGTGATTGGTATACCTTATTGGACAGACTCTGTATTGATCTGCTTTGCTGGGGATTAGGTAGGACTATTTTCAATCCCACAGCAAACAGAGTGCTGTTGGTATCATACAGCTGTACATGCGTTAGACACAGAAGAAACAAAATGAATACACCACTAACAGCCACAGGAAAGCATTGCATGATAAGATTAAATGCAGGAAATAGCACCGATTCTGAATGGTTAAAAATGAATCAGAAATAAGCAGGGAATGAGTGGCACATGCACTACACTATTCAAAGATCAATACTCAGTGGTGACAATTTAAAGTGAATTCTAATCATGCTCAAATCCGTGGTAATTCGTCACTCCTTCCATCTCGTGACTGGTTTTATTAACCAAGTGGGTGGACGATGGCCCATATTCGATATTGGCCAATATGATGGTTTTGATTGTCACCAGCACGGTAAGAACTCTGCAATCTTGCCAGTTTTAACAATTAAAATAAAGAAGTTGAATGAGGAAGATAACTGAAGCCACCGGCTATATCAGCACATATACTCAATTTCATTCCGTTCTGTGAGAACGATCGTGGTCTCAGGACAATATGTTCGATTACTAACATCTTTCCTTTTCTTAATGCATTTTAATCCCTAGAACCATTGTTTCATGAATCTTGTGAATCTTTCGACTTTTATATCAATTGTCCTATTTAAGTGTTTCTAGACAAAAACATTTGGATTACACTTTCTACAACTCCTACTCTTTTATCGCCTGCTTGCCATACGAGGGTGAGTCAAAAAGTTCACAGACAAAGATTTACAAGTTTAAACATGTCTTTAGAGTTGCCTTAAAAACATACAATTGCCCAATCATTGTAGCTAAGGTTAGGACCAAGACATGCTGATTGTCAAAATAGCTGGCAATTTTCAGCCCTTCAAATGGCAAACTTTGAGATCAGAGCTAGCATAACAATTCTTCCACAAATGAATTTGAATCATGTTCGGATCATGGAAGCCTTAAAACGGATTTATGGGGACTCGGGGTCATGTAGAGCGGTCATATGTGGTTGGATTAGGCACTTTTAATTGGGAAGAGTGCCACTTTCTTTAGGAGTTGTCAAGGCCTGCGTCACGAGTTTCGTTAGGAAACACTTCCATAGCTGGCTTATAGACCCAACTTGCCAAGACTGGCGACTCTTTTACGCTCCCTATGACTGATGTGTGCACCGTTTCAACGCGAGAAGAGGATATTGCTTAGCAGAAGTATATGAAAAGAATGACAGTATAATGACGGGAACATTAAGAAAACATTCCGCCCGGTTAATTTGTAAAAAAGAATCCCTATTTCACAGTGAAGCCCTCGAATATTTAGCAGGGCATCGATTAGACCACTGTCCTAAGAGCCAGGAACGTTTTGTTTTCAACATTGCAGAAATTGCCAGAATTAGTAAACAACATGTGTTCTCCAACGTTATAATCTTATTAGTCTTCCCAAGCCAAAAACACAGCAATAACACGTAAATGCCGTATTAATCAGCTTTACTCCATAATTATGCAAGGCAATATTCCTAAATAACCGCAGTATTTATAGTTACTAAAAATGAAGTTCATTAGTTTCAATTTTTCGAATCAAATTATCCTATTTTATCCAGCAGCCATTTAATGAATTCTCGTTGCTATTCAATTTGTTGATACCACTTACCGGGTTAGATTTATATATTAGTTATGGTACCTCCGATGTATTTTAGAATACTACTCTAATTCAAGAGATTAAATTGCAAGAGTGTGCGCAGAGGCTTGCAAATCCAACGCATTAAAATGTCTACCTTCCGCCACCTTAATATACTTAGAAATGCCATCAACATGGTCTTGCACTTTATGCAAAGTTAACATCAATTTGCATAAGTAGTTGTGAGTTAGTCAGGTAAATTCAAGATTGGAGGTTAATTGTCGTGTTTTGTTAACACGTTGGCAACAAAAAAACTAAAAACACGTTTTCGTATGCTAATTCAAACTTGATTCTAGAATAAAAATATCACCTAGATGACTTTAGGCCAACCTAAGTCAGAAATATTTGACAGCTAGTCGAGACAAACGCTTATCACTCCAACAGTTTTCTGACCTTCAAACCTCAACCACATGAAGACGACTTACATCCTTTCATAATAGCCCTCCTACACTTAATAAGACAGCCAGGGCGTAATCGCGTTTCGGTCTTGTCTCTCTACATTTTAACGGATAGAACACAGAGGAAGAAATTAGACATCTAAGCATTGTGACATTGTAGAAGGGTCCATTTTTCAGAAATCAGAATCTCGTATATGATTAGATCGATCAACCAGGTAAAAAGGTTAGTAGATTTATTAAAAGATATTTATACCCAGATAATTCTACCACCAAACACATTTTTAAAAAAAAATAGGGAAGAAAGCAGGAGAAATGTAAGAAAATGATTGGATCGATCTACGGTGTTTCCAAGTTGAAATGAAAACTCATCTGCTAATATAGATTCCAAGCAGCTGAAATATCAAAATATCAAAAATAGCTTTTAACCTAAGAGTGCATTTGCTGTCTTATTCATCTTCTTTTAAGCATTCATTCTTGATAAAAGTGGCAAATGTTACGAATCAAACTTCAATTATAAGTAAAGGCCTCATCTGGTTGGTGCAAGCAATTATTGCCAAGGAATAGGACAGTAGCAAAGCACAGACAACCCTTAAACCGCCAGACTACATTATTTCAAAGAAGGCGGGTGCTTTAAGATTATAACGCTAATGATATCACATAAAAACGTGTCAACCGGAATCTCACGATAACATCGAAAACAGCTAAATTGATGCTGAAAATCAGGCAATTTTAGAGCGCAGAGGTAGCGTATTTTAAATTTTTGCCATACCAGGAGTCTCTCGCGCATTCTTTGACTGGCATCTACCAGCTCTTTCGCTTAAATGCTCTCAATGATTAAAGGCATTAGTTTTTCCTTTGTCTCAGGTGATTAAATTTGTAATACTCACTGTAGAATTGAAGGAAAAACGGTAATGTGTATTAACCGCGAGTAAAATATAACCCATGAATATGAACTCAAGTGGGGCATGTATATATCACTAAAATATCACAAATACTCTTGAAATAGTTACCTCTAGGGCACAAATCGTTCACCGATTCAGTGGTATACTCACCAACAATGATATGCACATGATAAGTGAAGAAACAATGGCATTGGTTTCACAAGTTTCGATAATATTTAGCATCAACTCTTGTCAAATATCGACCATTGCATCTCCGTTCTAGACTACCACTACTACAGACGATAAGGTCTGGGAACTACTCGTAGAATTATGAGTGACAATGGTATGATATATAATGAGAATGCTACTCACCGTCAGGCATTATTCCCATGACGAGCTTTGGATAGGCCCAATCACTGCAACCGTAGCGATTTCCACAGATCCTGAAGCACTCTTCTGCCGTCCCACAACCAACCGTATCTACCAAAAAAGTAGAAGTTCTATTACTATTACTTCATATATTGTGATACAATAGATAGCCTACAAAGGAGTAGATCTCTCCATATTGGGAAAATAGCAAAGTGCGAAGCTGCCAATTGTACGCGAATTTTCCTAGTTTAGGTCACAAGTGTATCATAAATAGGTTCGCAATTTTGCTAATCATGTATGAAGAAACAAACACAGCCCGAAGGTTACATGGGCACTGCGTGCGGTATAATAGGAAAGCCAGATGCGAAGAGTATGCGTGAACAATGGCTAGACCAGAGGATATTACAACTTCATTCTGCTCAGACATTATTGAGAGTTGTAACAATGCCGACAAGAGAGCCAATTCCTCTGATCATCTCTACTCCTTGTTCCTCTCGGTGATTTACTCCCCTTACTTGCCTCGTCTGGATGATACATATAATGAAGACCCATTCAGGCAACACTACCTGCATCCGAAAAGAGCGCATAATAACCAACAAAAAAACGCCCAGTGACCCATTTTAACAGTCAGTGACATGAGACTCAAAAAGAGTCTGTTTAAAAGAAAGCAAGGATGAAACAATTTACAGATGTTCTATTATGAAGCTAGAGTTATGAATAGCCATAGGGCCTACAACTTGCTCCAATGAACTTTCGTGAAGTTAATATTGGTATACGATTGAATCAGTCATTTGTAGAGTGCATTCAAGAGATTCACCACTGAAAAATTAATAAATCGTAGAAGTCAACATTTAAAATGAGCCAATTAGAGTTATGCATGAACGGCCAATGCCAACACACTGGCCATTGATCATAACTATACGATAAGGCTTTGCTCCTAAGCTGATTAATACTCGAAGGAGCTTTCCGCTTTTCCTATCTTAGATGACTCGAAAAATGAATTGATCAGGCAAGACAGACAAGTAGTAAGCCGTGAATGTCATGAGGAAGAATTCGGTCAACAATTCAGAGTACAATTAGTAGAACTAAAAGTTTAAAATACTAAAACAATTCGCTTTATGGTGTACTACACTACACCATTTGGTTCCCTTCTCCTTTATATGCAATGAATTTTTATTTAACCGATTTCAGGTCCTCATCCAGCGTAAAATTATTTTTTATGCACTCCTCGGACTCAAACTCCACCTAATGTGACCCAAACTTGAAGCTACAAATTAACCATATTCACATTAGTTTTGTGCTGTGAATTTATTTAAAAATTTCGAGATTTATCCGGATTAATGGAAACGTTTTAGGTCATTGGACTTGAACAAGCAACTTAATGCCCGTTTTATGTATTTGAACTCTTAACCGAAAAACACCGATATGGCAATACAAAAGGAATCACATTAGAGTAATGTTCTTAAATCAAAATTGCTTATCTAAATTTAGTTACGATAACACTTTACATAAGTTTATTGGGATGATTTACACCAAGCCTATATGAAGTTAACAGGAAATTCATTAATTTTTAGGTTTTGACTACTAAAGAATGGAATTGAGCTTACACCCAACAGTAAGTTAAACAAAGGTGGTTTTCAAATTATCTAATAGGTCTTAAATAAATTGCTATAGGATATAGTCTCATCAATCGTCAATTTATGATAAATAGTAAGTAAAAGTATTAAGACTTCAATCCAGACGTTTTCAAGAGTGCACAGGGGATACCACTGTTAAAATCTATTCAACAATAAGAAGCAATTGAGTTAAAAGTTGATGATGACGTAGCATTAAGTACATGCTCCAAATCGTTTGTTTCTTGGAAGACAAGTAGTGCCTACTTGAAATTTGTTATTTGTGATTTCACATATGCTGCGCACTCTTATTAAATGCACAAAGTAGTATTTCATCAATTCACTCAATTTAAATACGTGTGCACTCAGATGCACTACCGATGTGTATTGCATTCAGCCTACGTCGAGACCAGAGAAATTAAGAAAGACATTCTAGATATCAGGTTCACTTCGTAGAAGCGTAAGTTATATACTCGAAATTTTATCAGTCCATGGATCTTTCTTTTCACTAAATCGATCACCACAAGGTTAAATTTGTGAGATATCTGCACCAGCCCCAAAGGAATATTCTACATTAAACAGTGTTAAAATAGGACAAAATCATGACAGAATACTTGAATAATTCATGGCAAAATGTTCAATATTTCGCTGTTTGAAAGTGATTGAAATAAAAAAATAAGGAAACGGGAGTCTAATGTTGCTTAGGTTAAAGCCACAAAAACCTATAACGAATACTTCGCATTGCGAGATAAAAATTATGTTTTTTCTAAGCAAATTGTTTTTGTGAACAATGTAAAGCTTATTGACAAACTTTGGTCAGTCTTGCCACTGCAACGCGTTTTAATCCCAGAGGTTGAGAATATCGGATGATCTTATCCGGTGATTGCTTTATTTTACTATCAATTTTTACCTATTTTATTCGATGTGACATGCAATCACAGACAATATTTCATACGCGGGCCAATGATAAATATCATAAAGCCTGTCATTTGAAGAAAAATATATTTCATACGCAGTAAAAAACTGCGACAGAAGACGGGAGACCTTCGGAATAAAAGAAAATTAAAATATCAGCAGGAAAAAACACATCTTCGACCGTAAAAAGTAGCTGCCTGAATAAATCAGAACCTAGAAGATTCAAATTCTTGCACTTCCGAGTCGCATGAAGTGTGAGAAATCCTTAGTAATCTCATATAAGTGGTCTGAACTTCCGAACACCTCAATAATAAAGACAGAATAATCTTTAAGGATGGATCCATATACTTCCAAAAATATTATCAACTTCATAATCTCTGGGACCCAATCATCTCGATTTACTATTGAATTTGCAGTTTTTGACTCTGTTGCAACCTCAAGATTGATACAGTGTTTACAGTGGAGCTTGAAGTGTTAAATGCTGCGGTGACTTCAAGTTCTCCTTAGAGAAGAGGTCATTGAGCGGGTATTGCTAGGGTTCAGTTCCCGATCAGCGATATTCGGAACAATTCTATCTCTTCCTCCCTCTCTTCGGAACTATTTAAAGCTCCCTTTATGGACACACATGTCAACCGGTATGGTGCTTTCTTCACGCTCGAACTTCTCCTCTCTCTTCCAATCTCTCAGTCCCCCTTCCCCCCCCCCCCCACCTTCTTGTTTTTTAGCCACAGTTATTCCAACAATTCCAACCTCATGACAAGTTCCATCTTTACTTCTGTACAAAAAAATTGTATTTGAATGAAATTTGTTTCAAAGTTTAGGGACCAAGCTCCTTTCTAAGAGTTTATTTTTACCTAGAACTGTTATTTCTCACAATGAAAGCCAATAATTATCCTGTTGTGATTTTTAACAGGGGAAATGGCAATTTTTATTGATAAATAAGGTTATAACACTAAAAGAAGAAAACAAAGAGAATTGTTAATTACTGAAAATGTTAGTGACTTCCAACATGAAGTCTTGAAAATCTATATCTAAGTTAACTTTCATTCAATCGCCTTCAAATCATAATCCCAATCAAACAGAATCCTCCAAAAGTCTAAAGCCATGAAGGACATTAAGACAAGGCACTAACTAACTCCATTACTTCTAAATAAATAAAACTAGAATGTTTTAAGTCCAACATATCTCTGGTAAGATGTCTTTATACGAACGTGTTTTCTTTTGAAACGCTTTGATAAAATTATCGCCGGGATTTTCCGACAATCCGCCCACGGCGGTTTAATAGAAAACCTCATTTAATGGAACTAAATAACCGCATACCCTAATAAGTGCATATGGGCGAAAATACAGCCCTGAAGAGACCACAAAGATCATCAAACTGGCATCTCCTCTTCAAGTCATTAATCCCTAATCGGTTGCAACTACTTTTCTTTAACTCTTAATCTACGTATACCCAATGTCGCCCCGCGTCCCGACATTTTTACCGGCTGGGAATACCCGGCGTTGCTGACTTTATAGAGTGTGTGATAGACTTACCTCCACGTGGTGCATCCTGGGCAACGTATACTCATACGCAAAAAAGTCTATTAAACGGCTGTTGACTTCTGATTTCAAACCCACATGGCCGACTGCATGTCATATTCGACCCCTTTCACAGTACTTATCTTACCTATTCTCTGCCTTTGTATCCGTCTGTCTCCTGTAAATCTGTGAATCATTTTTCTGTCCCCCTCTAGCCTTTTTGTCACTTTAATGTTTCTTCTCCTCTCTATGAAGCCCGAGGTCAGCTAAAGGGCTAATGATAACTATCAAAATGACTGCCAAAGACTGACCCCATCCGGTTTTCTCTCAAACTTCTATTGCCCAACTTCTACAATCACAAAAGTG